ACCTCCACGTGGTGCACCCTGGGCAACGTATACTCATACGGCAAAAAAGTCTATTAACTGGCAGTTGACTTCTGACTTCAAACTACCACGACCCCCCTGGTTGTCATATTCGACCCCTTTACTGTACTCACCTTACCTTTTTCTCTACCTTTGTGTTTGTCTGCCTCTTTTACATCCGTGTATCGCTCTTCTCTTCCCCACCCCTCGACTTTCTGCTACTTTGATGAACCTTCCCTCTGTGAAGCCCGAAGTCACCTAAAAGGCTAATGATAAGTGTCATAAAGCCCGCCATTTGAAATAAATAAATAAATTTTATCTATCCCCTCATTAGCTTTGGAAAACGTAATCTGTGGCTTATAGATTACGAATAGGTAGAACTGTTTAATTGAAATGTAAAACGGTTTGAATGTCATAAATTTAGCTTCATAGTAAAGCGAATTTTGAATTTTGGGTTTCTGGTCAACGTGACATCGAGATTAATATTCAACCTGCAAATTTTATGCAGACATGCGGGTACGAATTCTCATAGGCACTCTCAAGGGGTGATGCAAGTTTACGGTTGACAGAAAAAAATATGAAGCGGAACAACAAAAAGGTAAAAGTGGATAGATCAGTTCCAAGGCGGCCAGGTAAGACAGCTCAATATAAAGCTATTCGGCTAAGTGTTCATTGACGAACGCTTCTTCATGTGATGTCAGCCAAATCTGGTCATTGATGTCCCTGCGTAATTATTTGAATAAGATAATACGTACCCCTGGATCTCTTATGGAACCTGCTTTCGAAATCTTAACAATTCCGATCACTAGAACTTGATTAACACCTACTACCTAGAAGATAATTGTACTCTTATCAAGTGATAAGTCAGAAATAAATTCCCTTTACCTAATTACTCCCCATATAATTTACTCAAATCCCGTATGAAATTTTCTCTCTATCATGCTTTTTATTTATTGTTGAATATTTTTTTCATTATTTTTCACTTATTCCAATTACCAAATCTCACTCTCAACAAAAGTTCCTCATGCCGCTGTAGCACACATTGATCAGACAATAGAATAGACAATAATTCGACTCATTCTCAACTGCTGATGCACAAATCAAAACGAAAGAGATTAATGATTACACCAGAATGAGTATTAAAATTTCTATTATTCTTAACTAAGCTATTTAAAATTGTACCCCATTGTCTGTCGGTGAATTGCAATAGAACATATTTCTTCCTACTTTACAAAAGTTTGTGCATATTTGAAGCTTCGTTGTCCACTTGGGGACATGTAGTCGCAAACTCAAATACCTTCCAAAGTTCTAACGTTCATTTTACTAGCACCAAAAATATAATGAAACAGTTTTAAAAACAAACAGCCATGTTTACACTATTGCATATCAAATTAATGTTACAACGTATAGGAGAGGAAGGGGAGTGGGAGAGAGGGACAAAAATTGTAAGCAAATGGGATCACACAGAGAGAGAGAGAGAGAGAAAGGGAAGGATAGAAAAAATCTTTTTACTAGACAAGAGTAAGAGCTTCAGTTTGTGGTGACGAAGACCTCAATGTAAATCCATGTTGTATAATCGGTGTCTCTCCAGGACAGTATGTGTTCATGATCCTGGCTACCTCCCTCAGACTAGCAAACACTGCGCCCTGTACAGAAGCAGGGTAATTGCGATTTGTATGCTCTCCAGTGAAGAAGAGACGGCTTGGATTTTTAGGGGAGGTTCCATCATTACTATGGGTCATAGCGGACTGTGCAGAGGGGCTGAGGGGAAGAGTAGGAGGTTGTTGAGTAAGTGGTGCTGCTAGGAGGTCATAGTCGTCACCGCTTGAACCAACTGCAACGTAGGAATAGGAGCCGCGTGCATACTCATCCGATGTCCAATGCGTTGCATAGGCTCCAACGGGCTAAAATTCAGATTAATTCAGATTCTAGAACAAAACAAACATCGGAGAAGTGTCAGAGCACGCAAAAGGTAACTCGAAATCCTCGCAGAGCAAATGAACTTGGAAGATAGGCACCCCTTATACGATCTCTAAATAAAAACACTGTTCAAAGATCACTTCGAGTTCTGCTAAGCTGAAAAGCTCCAGTTGCTTACAAATGACTAAATATAAGCTTACACCAACTAAACACTCAACAGAAAAGAGGGATGGAGTCATAAAACCAATCAGTCTTTACATTCACGCAATTTCAGACGTCAGATCTCCTATGACATTAAACAAACTAGAGATTCATTGAGAAACGAGTCCCACGAAACTGAGAGAAAATTCGAAACTTCCTTCCAAATGAAAATCAAGACAATTTACCACCACTTTCATTAAAAACGAATCTCAAGTTCAAGTCAACAGGTTAAGTTTCTTAATGGTGTTATTGACAGAGATGCAGATTTCATCTCAAAATCTTGGCATTTTAGCCGCATCTCCAATTGGTAACTGAAATGTTTGGAGTAAAACCTTTTCATGGCAAAATCGTGTTTGTAACTTAACACTTTTGTTGATCAAAGGAACTTCTTAATGAAACAATAAGGGGAACTTTAGTGCCAGATATATCAGAGAAGGAACTTACATCAGGAATTATGTTATTCGGCCGATTGAAGATTTTTCGCAGAATAGACATGGCTCGTCTAACAATGGGCAGCCTGAGATACGCAGCTGGATCCGAATCGCCCTTTGCAATCACTGAAGTTGCAATCTCCGTTTCCTGGACAACGGCGGCCTTGCCAGCGACAAGGGCAATCAAACAAGGACGATCTGTGATGGACCAGAAAAGAAAGAGTTCGCCACGTTTGTCTGTCGAATCGTGAACGTAACCAAACACTCGTTCTTTCTGATCCCAGAAGAACTTGTCAAAGAAAAGAACAACCTGGAAGGAAAAGTAAGAGCTACTTGAAATGAACGCTAAAAGCGGCTTTATGAGCAACACCCAGCTATAGTCATATAACAATTAGGCGTCCCATCGGTCGATAGCCAAGCATAATGCAATGCCTAAGTAGAACAAATTAAGTACAAACCAAAAAATACAAGAAAAAACCAACCTTATTAAGCGTTCCAAATCCAGCTCTTTCAATTGCCTCTGTTTTCCATTGTGGGAGAGGCGGGTTGAATAATGGGGCTTTCAAGTTCGTCAAAGTTGCTTTGTCAAGCTTTTTCCCCGCTTTTGTAATATTGACGGATTCCTTAAGAACACCCAGAGGCAGTGCGCAAAGCACTATATCAGCGTTATGCGAAATCAGCTCATCTTCGCTCATAGCCTTGTTCACACAGGAAACCTTTACACCTGGAAAAACAGTACAAATATTGACTATTATAAATTTTATACAAAAAATCATTCAACCATCTCCAATAAACATACCCGTATCAGAGACCGAAATCTCCTTTACAAATGACTGCAGTTCAATTTGTCCACATGGATTGTCATTTGAACTTCGATGAGAGCCATATGAGGTAGTCAGGACTTCAAGAATTTGTCCGAAACCGCCCTGGATGACACAGTGATCACCAGACAGTTCATAGGCATCATCCTGGTCCCAATGAAGAAGGGAAAGATTGTCAAGCTCAGTCGAATTGGCGAATTCCAAATTTGCTAAATGCCAGTCCAATATGTTGCGTTCTGCATTGGTTAGATAGATTTCACTAGAAGAGAGATAAAGGGTCCAATTACAATTGAAATAGCATATGAGATAAAAAGACTCCCTTCTTGTTTTCACATTACCTTATTGACATAAACGATTCAGTCAAAAGTAGTTCAATGATTATTTACAATAAATGTGGCACTCTTTATTTTATATTGGAAGAAAATATCCCGATGTCATTCAAATAAAATAGTTTAGGAAACTGAATAGATGAGGCTAGGCATCCCCTCTTAGAACTACTTATCCTATTTAGGCTAATGGGAAACAAAAGCCTATAATGAATGAAAAGATCAATAGTTGGATTGGACAAATGTGCACGGGATAATGTGAAGGGAGCGTTAAAAGAGAGAATGAGGTGTCGGTAAAGGGGTAGGACTACCCAAATAGCGAGAAGTAGATGGATTGAATCTATGTATACTGGCTGCTAGTAGAAATGCAAAGACAGGAAGAGGATAACGTTTAGAGGGACATGACAGGTCTAAAAGCCATCGCTCCCAGATACTACATACTTTTTGATAAAACTTGCATTGATCAGGATTGATCAATACAGTTGACCACCTACATTACTAGATATGAATAAAAACCTTGACCTCTGACTACTGCACTTTAGGAACATTCAATCAAGAGAAATATTATTCAGTACACAGCTGTGGGAGAGCCGCAGCGATGTGGATGCTATGCACATTTGAAAGACAAAGTTGACCATTCCATTCAATGGACGTATTTTGGTGTTCTTAGCAAAGACAATATGTACATAGCATGTATTAATAGAAACGGAAAAGGAAGAGTTGAAAATTAAGGTTCTCAAAGTGAATTCGTCCTATTAATTCCTCTTCTCCTTTTGGCGAAGAAAAACTTAAATGTCCACGCGGAGACCGACCACATAATCAAATGACTTGCATGCTGAAACACTCCAAGCTCAAGTCACGTCCATACGCAAATGGATGTATTTGAGGTACACTTTGTACTCGAGTGCCCAATCCATTCTGTCTATGCATAATCCGTACATATGAACCTTTGTTGACAACCTACTCGTACACTGTCTCTCGCACTCACTTAACTCAAAACCCCTGCATTAATGCCTCTTTTGGGAAACTGTGGTTGCTGGCTCCTAGTCAAAGCTAATGCAAATGGATGACCTCGGCTCCTATTACTCTAACAAGTCTGACCGATCAGTTAAGCTCGTGCATGATAACTCCGCTCACTAAATACATAAACGCATTTAAGTTTTACTCCTAATCTTCCTCCTTTGCCCTCCTACACCCATTTCTGAGATTGCTTGCCATACTTGAAATCTCATTAGAAACAGATATGGGAAATGTCTGTTGCCTTCTGTTAGTTTCATGAAATAGTCTTAATTTCGTCACATTCGCTTGTATGAAGAAATTAAACTAGGCTTAAACGACAGGGAGCAAGTAGCGCTAACATCTGACACAGTTAAGCAATATTTCTTGAACTCATCAAAGGAAATGCCTTCCAATCCTCATGACAGTGAACAGGCATTTCAGAGTCCCCTAATGAAAAATTCATGTCTTACTGCTCTTCTTTGACCCCAATAGACGGGATGACCTTTGAATAGAAAGATGCATATGCTATTTCTAGGCCACAAAGACCCGAATGAAATGAACCCAAAATATATCTTATTTCATAGTAGAGACTGTAAGGACTTACGGGGGTGGATTCTTTGCGAGGACTTCTAGTTGACGATTCACTTTGGTGAGAGAAACATGAAGAGGATCAAAGCGTCTCCAAGCGGCACTCAAAGTAGAGAGTTGACACAGGCGTTTGAATTTCTCTTCCATGTCAATCGGCTGACTAGGCCTAAAGGAAAAAGATGCTAACGAATCTCCACTAGAAAATAAAGAGGAAGACAATTTTAATTTAAATAATCGTTTCCAAAAAGCCCAACAATCGACGATGTCTTTAAGTGCAAAATTTATAGAAGCCTCATCTTTTATAAAATACGGGCAGGGGGGGGGGGAAGAAATGTCGTCTTCAACGCTGACCTCGGAACCTCTTCAGAAGAGAATAAATGAAAATTCCGAATTTTATGGACTAAATCACCCCTACATTTCCGCAAACCACTTCCTCTCTCAAGTATACACTTGCTTAAATAGACCAACGCATTATGATTTAATAAATAAAAGGCAAATGGTCAACTTACGCATCTTCAGCCTCTTTCTTCTTGACAACCGGGCGAACATTCGGCATCGAAGATGATGGGGAATCAGCCGATGATACCGAGACCGTGGAACCCGTCTCCGCATTCACCCTTCGACGTTTTGACGATCTATTCGCTGAAGACGTCCCTGCTGTTGAATCTGAAACAGTAGCAGCAGCAGCAGAATGAGGAGGAGGAGTAGAAGAATTCTTGTGTTCCAATGGCTCATTGGACTCTACAGTTTTCCATTCATTGAAGGCAATATTTATATCTTCCCTCGCCTTAACCATCTAGATGCAGATAAGAAGAGAATAAAATAGAAAAAGTGGCTTATTTACATGGGTAATTATGTGGCTCTCTAATGTAAAACGGAAAACTAATTTCGCACAGTAACATAGCGCATAGGGAAAAACACGGAAACAACCAAACTACGATTGAAAATAGACACATTCTAGGGAAGTTTTGGAAGTTAGTTCAAAACGAAAATTGATTTACATCAATGAATATAGGTACTTTCATAGCCCAGAGGGTGTTGACAACTGCATCTCAACGCATCAATAATATTTGTCTTTTCCAAGTATAACAAGGCACCCTTGGTTGTAATAGTTAAACATATCGCAATGCCATAAGCATCTCAGCTTTCAAGTTTTGACTTTGCAACAAAAAAATACAATGGACGCCCATTAAACAAAGATATTCCCAAGACCACTATCTCTACTCTACCACATTCCCCCCCCCCCGGCCTCATCAGTAATTGAATTATTTCTCCGAGTTCTGACGCTTTCTCATTACCAGTGAAATGAGAAACATCATTCATTGGAGAAGTTTAACTAAACTATCTTCAGTAAAAGGACAGTAAAAAACAAATACGATGCGATAAAAATCAACAGAGAATAACAAATAGAAAAACAACTTCGTAGCTCCAAAGATGAAATAAAACAATTACATTTTTAAATGATAATTAGGAAGAAAGTAGTAAGTTCTTAAAAAAAATTGAATAGAATTCCTATAGGAAGTTTGTTTCACGGGCGAGAAAACTTCGGACTTGTATTCCTGTATGACTCTTTAATAGTGAAGTCCTTTAATGCTATACCATTGGTTCATTAATAGAATAGCTCCAGCACCACATCCAAATTCGTACACAGACTAAACACTTTCCTAATAGGAACTTTATTTACACCCCGATCTGAGCTACCGTAGCCATAGGAGGCAGTCTGAATTCGAAGCCTTGGCAACACATCTTCGAAATTGGGTGCAATATACACAAACAATGCAAGTCATGAAGCCACTCTTGCCTACTTCCATCCTCAACAATGCATTGTCTTGTTCAAAACAATATGTTAGCAGGCGAAAACGAATACAAATTAGAATCAGTATTGATGATCTACCATTCACAGAAGGGTGAGAAACAGACAACGGGAAACTACATCTAAACATAAAAACTAATAAGTTCACGGCGAAGTGAAGAGCAGCGCCTTGGCAAAACAGTAGTATCTAGAGGGGACGAATAAAACGACCTTACCTCGTGCATAATTTCTAACTGAAAAAGAGAACACGAGAAACAAAAAAAGCCGTGAGACAAGAGGCAACGTTATTCATGAAAGAAAGGACAAATGAAGAGGTGTAAGAAAACAAAGAAATAGGTCAACACACCTGGCCCAAAATTTTGGCTTTCCTTTGCGTGAGAAGTGAGGTGAGATTTCGGTGACTGATCTGCAGTGGAGTTATTCGATATTCTTGAAACCTAGAATAATAAAGTAGAGGAAAAGGTTAGTCAGGGAAAAACAATAGCGCAATATTCTGACTAGAACCGCTTCTTAATGAACAAGAACAATTTAAAAATAAAACAATGCAATCTGTTTGGCGACTGAACATACTGCTTAAAAATAATCAAAACGGAGCAACTTACTCAATAAGATTCTCAATAACTTGACCGAGAGATTTATTCGCAGAATTTGGATCATTCGCAGCAACATAAGCTGCTGTTGCTAAAATACGATTGAACTCTTTCTCAATCTTAAGATCCCGTTCTTGTGGCACCGGATCCCCGTAGGGATTGTAGAGGGTACAACATGGATTAATTGGGATCAATGCTAGTCCACCTTGCTTGGCCAGGATTGTTGAGGGATTTCCAGCTACAATAAACACCACTTAAGAGCAAATTTATTTGTAGAGAAGTGCTAGCAAGACTTAATACGCACACATTCCGGTGACAATCATCGCCCCAAGATCAGCAAAATGCTTTCCTTGTTTATATGTCCAAACACGACCTCCAATTCGGTCCTGAAAAAAGAAATGTACTAAGACACGTACACATACTTTAATGAAGTGCTTTTATTATAACCTTACTCTAGCTTCGAGGACGGTAACATGGGCCCCAAAGTAGGTTAATTGTCGAGCAGCCATTAATCCAGCAGCTCCAGCACCACAAATAATCACCTTTAGGGGGTTCCCTGTGCCAGTAGAATGCCTATCAACGTTCTTTTTTGATGAAGCACTTGTAGAACTTTCATTAGCTACTGACTTCACAGACTTAGTCAGAGGCTCAGTGAGGTGTTTGAATGAGCCAAAGTTGATGTAACCATAGCGTTCAAGAAAGAGGATAGCGAAGGTGGCAAGGCGTTCCAGATTCTTTCGCGCGGCTGGTGTACTCCAAGGATCCCAATTACTAGGTATTTGGGAGGAAGAAGTGTTGGTGCAACTGGTATTGCTGGTCTCAGAGGAGTCCTGTTGTTGGTTATCTCCATTTTCTAATAAAGTTGGAGGAATGAAAGTGGTGAGTCCTGCCGAATGCATGCAGAGAACATACTGACGAGAAAGAGAAGACACAAGGTAGCCCATTAATCGGTCAGTGGTCACTTGTAATGTCGGATCCTCAATCCATAAAGCGCACTAAAAATAGAGTGAGAATAATTTTGACTCTGTAATAAGACCTGCATCTCTCTGCAGAACCAGCCAGAGTTAATTTCATACTTCATAACACACCTTACAGTTACCACCTAAATAAATCAGCTTATTTAGTCATTAATCAAATAACTCAGGTAAAGACCATGTAGGCTACTAAACATAATGCAAGATCTTTCTACTTTCCACATCTTTGAATGAATAAACGAATTGAATTGACAAGACTGACTACGATAATCGAGCATTAAATAGCGTGGACAGGAATTCGATATGCAAAGCGTGGGGAAAGTCACAAAAATCGAATTATGAGAAGGGAGCTACAACCCTATTACACTAAGGAAGAAGTAAATAGAACTCGATTTAATTAATTTTAAAAAGTATTCGTACCACCATTTAGACAGCACCCACACGATGGAAAAGGGTTGCAGAGAATCGAATGATACGAATAGTATATAAAATTGCAAAAAAATTAGTGGTACTATTCGAAAAAATGTAAAAAGCAGCGTACAAGGGACCAAAAATCGCGTACTTATATGGAATGGCGGGGTGCGCGATAGACTTACCTCCACGTAGTGAACCCTAGCCAACGTATACTAATACGGCTATAAACCAGCAGTTGGCTTCGGACCACCATGACCCGACTGTATATCATATTCGACTACTCCCACAGTACTCAACTTACCTTTTCCTCTACATTTGTGCCCGTTCCTTATACGTCTATGAATCACTTTTTTGCTCCCTCTGCACATTTTCTCACTTTGATGTTCCTCCCCTGCGTGAAGCACGAAATTAACTAAAGGGCTAACGATAATTACCAAAAGCCTGCCATTCGATATAAATTAATATCTAACCTTACTTAGTATTTCCGTTTGGGATAAATTTGATCGAGCCCAACAAGTCGCTTTGAAGAGTTTAAGTAGGTACAATTATCTCGCCATAAAACGGCTGAAATAAAGCAATTTTGTGACGGATATTCTTTTTTAAATTCGAAACAGGGATCAAAAAAATATAATAGAAAAATGATGGGAATCGGAATACAAAGGCGCGATGGAAGATGAAATGACAACTTATGAAAAATAGGAAACACTTTCCTAGGAGGATAAACAACACGAATCTCACATTCAAAGGTAGAGAGAGATAAAAAAACCAATGTATGAATAGAAAAATGCTAATAATAAATATAAAATAATAAAGTGCTTAATTGCACGTACACCAGCATTTCTGGCAATGAGATAAGCTGGCCTAAGCGCAACATTGGTTTCTTCCTGCAGAAAGGGAAACAGTGCGATTTCATCAACCGTGATTCGCCGAGCAGGTAGACGACAAATTTCAGCGGCCTTTTCTGCATCACCATTGAAGCTTAAAGGCAAATCAGTGGGTAGTGAATCCTCCGATTCATCGGTTTCTTCTTGAACCTCGGTAAAGCTTTCATCTAAGTAATCGTTATCAGAATTTTGTTCTTCTTCGTCTTCAGCACTTTCAAATTCTTCGTCAACATCAATATTTCCTTCGGTGAGTTTTCTTTTTCTCGGAAAACAAGAGGATGTAGAAGTTGATTCATAATCTTCCTCAGAAGGATTCTCCTCATCATCATTAATTTGGATATCTGATGACTCCTCATTTGTGGAACCAGGTCGATTCTAACGAGTGAAAAGAGCAAATTAAAATAAATAAAATTCGATAATATTATTATTAATTCAGCAACAGTAAACCTAACCTCATTATCAGAGCCTTCTGATATCGTTTTTTCTGTGCTTTCCCCATCAGCATTTGATGTATCGCTTTTGCTTTTAGTTTGTCTTCGAGGTCTGCCGCGTGCCATCAATCCGTACTAATTAAGGGCGAGAGAAATGCGAAACGACCTTAGTTTAGATATTCAAAAATGCGGCACTTTTATAAATGTATAAACTGCCTTATATCATTGATCAGAAACTACACGTACAGGCTAATATTTAAATTATAAAAGAAAATTTCGTTCATAAATATTTTTTGCTCAATGTATGCATTTTAAAAAATTTTGATATTTTTTGAAGTATTTTTAATGTTATAATTATAATAAACTATGCAAAAAACGCATATTTAATACGCTGAAAGTTGTTTTTGGTGGTTAATACTTTAGCGCTTTCCATGATAATTTTTTCCTTTCAAGCCTAGGACTCTATTGTGTAAATGTGTGAATTTATTTATATTTATAAATTATGATCTGGTTTATTGAAACGGTATTCTGTTTTGGCAATTACTTTAATGACTTTTAATGTTGTTGGTTTACCATACGAGTATAAAAGCATTCTATCTAATTCAGCTATGGGAATCCTGCATAGTAGAAGTAAATCTCGTGTTACAGAGCAAGATAAGGCTGTTTTGCAGTTAAAAAAGCAGAGAGATGAATTAAAACGTTTCAGTAAACGAGCTACAGAATCCATCGACAAAGATACTGCAGCCATCAAAGTATTGGCCAAACGAAATCAAAAAGAGTATGTCCTCATTTGGTTCTTTCTATTTTTTTCAAATTAGAGGAACTTGACAAATATTTTTTTATATTTATGAGTTTTTCATTATGTTTTATACTTCTTTTTGATATTGTTCTTCGTTCAATTTTTGCTCTAAATCATTTTTCACGGGGATCTTTAATCTCTAGTACCGTGATGAGCCCTCTCCTTAAAATGCAAATTGTTAAATGTGCATTTTTGAAATTTGTTTCAATTCTAGTCGAGCTCTTCTACTTCTGAAGAAGAAAAAGTACCGGGAGAAGTTATTGTCTCAAGCTGATCAACATTTAACAACTATTGAGGGACTCATTAATGATATTGAGTTTGCTCAGGTTCAAGTGCAAGTTGTTGATAGTCTGAAGAAGGGTAACGAGGCACTCAAACAACTCAACGCCCTCATGAATTTGGATGACGTCGAGAAAATTCTTAGCGACGCACAGGAATACCAGGAATATCAAGAAGTGAGCATTACCCCTTAGTCTACTCAAATTACTTCTACTTAGCGTGCATTACTGGAGTAATTTATTTCAGGAAATCAGTAATCTCATCGCCGGAAATCTGACTTCTAAAGATAATGCCGATGTTGAAGCCGAATTCGAACAATTATTGAAGGTTGATCTCCCTGAGATTCCTAATCATGAAGTTTCACCGCGTGTACCTCCTGCAAAGAGTAACAAGGGTAATTGTCCTCTCAAATGTGTCTTTTTTGGTTTTTAGTTTTCATTTTATTCTCTCTTTTGTGTCTTCAATTTTAGCCCGCACCGAAAAAAGATCCCCCGTTATGGCAACTGCCTAACATCTTATGATCTCTCCCCTCTTCTGATTACTTTTGTAATACTTTTAATAAAGTTCAGATTTTCCTGTGAAGTTTGACTTTTGGGGCATTACTTTCATTTTCATGCTTATTAACCTGAGTTTATCGTTTTATTCTTGCATCAGTTAGATTAGATGGATCGCTTTCGATGGTGCGCAATATCAACCGATTCTAAAATTACTGATCCAGAGTGTTTAGTTCTAACTCAATTAGGTGTCACCCTCTACAACGGTCCAGGAAGAACTGGATTCGAGAAAGGAAACCTCGCTCTTACATCCCATCGGTTGCTTTGGCAACATGGCAATACTAAAATGGCCTTGCCTTTATTTGCAGTCACCAGCGTCTCCCAGCAGCATACTTCCAGTGTTAGAAGTGCCACTCCAAAACTCATATTGAAGCTGCTTTCTCCAGAACAACTTGTAAATGCTTTCAAGGCTTTGCCGGCCCTACCTATTTGGTCTGCGCCTTGGGTTGTTGATAAAGGTGATTCTCGTGTCGCTGTAGCCTCTGGATTGGATTATATTCGCCTTGGATTTACTCAAGGGGGTCTTCAGTCCTTTTTCGCAGCTTTGGAGAGCACTCTGGAGGTAAGTCTCTCTTTCTTGAAATTAATACATTTAACCCTTAAATGAAGCTTTATTTGTTTTAATTCTAGAGCAAACTTTGGATGGTTGCCCCAAAGGTAAACTCTAGCCGTGTTGGTTTATCAGGAATCGAGCGAAGCATCCTAGCGCAGACAGTATCTAATGACCGTAGTATAGCTGGTGCTTTTGCAGACTTGACAAAGCTCATGGAAAATGCGAAAGAAATGGTTGCGTTATCTAAGAGCCTCTCACAACGCATTCGCAATACAAAAGCCTCCGGAGGTGAAGTTGAAGAAGATGATACTACCGAATTACGACGAGCGATGCTTAGTATGGGTCTTGAGGATGAGGGTGAAAGTAATGACTATGGAGCGGTTTCATCCGATGCCTACTCATTTCATCGGCAATTGGCTGGCCAGATTTGTCGACTATTGCTACCTCTTTTGGAACAAAGAACTGCCGAGATTTCTGGAGGCTGTATTGATCTGACAACAGCGTATTGCCGAGTAAATCGAGCTCGTGGTGTCCAACTCATCGCTCCAGATGATCTGCTTCAAGCTGCTCGTCTTATGCCCTCTTTGAAACTTCCTCTTAGGCTTAAAACCTTCCCCTCTGGACTTAAAGTGAGTTTAACAATTGTCAAATACTTCAACTTTCTCTAGCAGGTATGCGTATGAATTCAACTTTACCTCTTAGGTCCTTCAACTTGCAAGCGAATCAGAAGAAGCTACATTAAAATCAACATGTGAATTATGCGCTTCAGATAATTCTAAGGGCATAACACCTGGTGAGTTGGCAAGAAAAGCTGGAATCGCTACAGTACTGGCGAAAGAACGTCTTCTCCTGTGCGAGCAGAAAGGAATGTTATGTAGGGATGATTCCGAGAATGGACTGGCTTTTTACAGAAACCTATTTTTGAATCCCCCAATGATTTGAAATTGTGCTTTCTTTCATTTTGTGTCTTGTTATAATTTTTAAGACCTTAATTAATCAATAGTTTGTGGTGTGTATATTACTCTAAGCAACTATCTTTAATGGCTTCCATCGACCAACTTGTTTCAGTGCTAGGTAGATCGTTTTAATTATCATTTAAACAATTTAGACTGAAATCCATAAATGTGTTTTTTTTGTCGTGTTTTGTTTTGCCCTTTATATCACACAAGTATCACTTTTGATATTTACTAGAGTAGTACTAAGGAATGAAGAATTTGCAAAATAAAACTAACGAGTACCTGTGATCACCATGGGAATATCATCAAGATTTTAGATGTTTGTGCTCATTTACTAATTTGCTTGCCATCTGTGACTTAGAAGGATGAATGTGATAAGCCCCTATTAAGAATTTTTCCATTCACTAAACAACCTAATAAGTAAAACGTTTGGATAAAAAATTTTATTCCAAATGAAATTATGGTAACCATTTGACATGTTTCTTAATTTTACCGCTTGCATAATTGCTATAAAATAATAAAGTTATGGGTTGCAATTGGAGATAATGTTGAGAAACGAAAATGTCTTGTTTATCTCCGTTTTTGTTATTCAACTCAGAAGTTGTGGCTATTTGTGAAGCTTCTAATATTAAATCAAAAAGATTAAGTAGCCCTAAGATGCGAAGTAACCATCTCTCTACATCTATCATGTTCCCCCTTCCCAGCAAGAGGCATGCTACCTTCCATACTCAGTGTTTGTATGTGTCTGCTTGGTGGCATTCTGATGTTGGTGCCCCTCCCACCGTCGATTCCTTAGTAGTAACATACTTGGTCTTGAAACATCCGCAGACCAACTAAACAAAGCTTAGACATGGTAAATGAATACTAATTGAAATCAATGTTGTCTTTAATGCCAGTTGTGTTTTGAGGATGACGATGAGTCTAGAGAAAGATTTTTATGTCTTATCGGAATATTTTGTTAGAATGTTCTTTCACTCCGTTTATAGGTATACACGATTAGTCATTAAAATCTTTTTCATCTCCATAATGATCAATTTCATCTTCGAAAAGAGACAAAAACGAAATGAAATTAAACATGCCAGTGTGACAAAGAAATCAATAAAATGAAGTAAACATAAACAAATATAATAACGTAACACTTAACCCACTAATTCCGAAGATTTTAAGCTTATTTGTTGCCATAGTAATATGTTAATCCGGCCAATTACATAGAAAAGTTGTATCGGAGATACGATTTGGACAGTGAGTTAATCTACCAGAACGAGTTTTTTGGAGGGAAAGAAAGTGGGCTGTAAAGCCGCACACTTTGGTCTTAAAATCGCCTATTTCCGCAATGCCCAATGCCGTTCGTTCATTTAGCTTTACTAAAGAGGCACCAGTATGGAAATTCAGATAGTGTTTCTCAAGGGTTGTGCAAGACCGATACTCTTCAAAAAGGAGATTTGCGATTCTCAAATGATTCGTAAAAATATATACCTTGGATCACGAACCCCCTCTCCCATTTACTAAAGTTATACACGTGGAATGAAAGAAACAATGAATTTAACTCCACTGAGACACTTTCACTTTGTTTGCAGAATGTGTTAGGCCTCTTATTTCCAGCATTCATTAGTTTCTCTTCATTATTAATGGAAGTAAATGAAATCATTCAAGATAAAAATTCTGCTTTATAGCGAATAAACGTAAGCATGAACAATTCTCAAATGATAAACTTCAAAAAATTGCTATTACAATATTAAAAAAACAAAAATATAAAGCTCATAAATCCAAAACAAATTAACAAATTCTATATAGTTGCATAAGCCAAGTAAACTTGAATCTTGATAATGGTAAACATCTATTTCGACTTTAATTTGTGAATATATTTTTGGGGCCTGCATTTGGGCAGTAACGTGTAGCGAATTGCTACCTTAGTAAAGCCTGACTGACTCAGAAATCTCTATGGCAGATCCTCCTACATCTAGCTAGGCTCCCAGAACCAGCTAAGCTATAGCCTAGCTATGAAAGGAAACAGACGTGTAGCACGGAGCACGTTTACTCAGTAAGTATATTGTGGATAAAGTGTACACGCAGGAAGCTTAATCATGATGAGGATGGCGAATTAGGTTAAACAAAAAGAGGTTAATGATTGGTCACTGTTTGTAGGGTCGCACCTCCCAATCCTGGCGTACAGACATCCAATGACGTGCCCCACAATACTCCTCCCCTAGAGCGTTTTTAGGAAGCTGAAAAGTGAAGAAAACGCTC